CCCGTGCTCTTTTGCGGCCTGGGCCCGCCGTGGCCAGAGATTCGCCCCCTCGTGCCTTCCTCTGCGCGCCTCGCTCCGAGAGTTGCTCCACGAGCGTCCGGAGGGGGGCGCCGCCCGCGCCGGCGGCGCCCGCGCTTCGACCCCCGCCGCGGCGCGAGGGCGAGGCGAGGTCGAGCCCCGTCGGGGGAGCGTAAGACCCGGGTTTGCCAGGACTCGGGTTCGCCATCGTTTTCTGACGACCGCGCCTCGGATTTTGACGAGGAGGAGTTTCGTGGGATGTCTGCAGCGGGAGGCCTCGTCAAAATGCAGGCTCGGCCTCGACATTTTTTTGACGACCTCGTCGGGGATTTCCGAGTCCCCTGTACCCGGGTCTTACGCCCCCCTGACCCGTCGGGGGGGGTATACCCCCCACGCTGATTGCACCGGAGAGGAACCCCCCATCAGTTCGGAGGTGGACAGACCTCCTGCCCTGACACGCCGATGGAGGAAGTGGCCGTTCTCGGTTCGCGGGGGGGCGTCGCGGCCGTTATTTTTTGCGGGTCCAGGTCCGTCGTTTTCGGTCCGGGGCCGTTTCCACTAAGGGGAGGTTTACTAAAGGGAGGTTTGTCCACCGCCGATCAGTGGATGGCATGATGATTAGTGATGTGGATGTTGAGATCGATGGTGAGATCGATGGTGGACTCGATCATGAGGTCGGTTGTGAGGTCGATCGTGAGACCGACAGTGCAGTCGATTCAATGAGATCGATAGTGAGACCAATCGTGAGATTGCTCGTGAGATCGATAGCGAGATCGATAGTGAGATCGAGAGTGAGATCGATAGTGAGATCGATGGTGAGACCGATCGATAAGAAGATCGACCAGGAACCCGGAAACCTGGGAACCCCGCCGCCCACCGAAATCGGCCCGGAGCCTGGAACAGGGAACCCGGGAACCCGGCCGCCCACCGAAATCGGCCCGGAACTTTCGCCAAATCCTTCAATCTCCGCTAGGACCTCTTCAGTGCAAGCACTGATTGGGGAAGTATATGTTCCTCTCTCTCTCTCTTTCTCTCTCTCTCTGTCTCTCTCTCTCTATATATTTTCTCTCTCTCTCTCTCGCTCTCTCTCTCTCTCTCTTTCTCTCGGAGGTTGGGGGGTGAGATCGCAGTGGAACGGAGACCCCCAACCGGGAAATCGTTTCGTTTCGTTCGTGTCGTGCGTGCGGGCGAGGCGAAGCTGCGTTGGCGCGCGAGAGGAATAAACCCGCCGTTGCTAGGGCGAAGTCAAGATAATTGATTCTTCCCCTCCCGCCCGTCCAGCGGTGGCCCGCGGTGTCCCGCGGTGTCCCGTGATGTCCCGTAGTGTCCCGTGGTGTCCGCCGTTGCGAGGGCGAAATCAAGACAAATGATTTTCCCCCTCCCGCCCGTCCGTCGGTGTCCCGCCGTGTCCCGTGGTGTCCCGTGGTGTCCCGTGGTGTTCCGTGGTGCCCCGTTGAGTGAGATCGATAGTGAGATCGATAGTGAGATCTATAGTGGGATCGATAGTGAGATCGATAGTGAGATCGATACTGAGATCGATACTGAGATCGATGTCGTGCCCCGAGTTGTCCCGTGGTGTCCCGTTGAGTGAGATCGATAGTGAGATCGATAGTGAGATCGACAGGTGTCCCGTGGTGTCCCGTGGTGTCCCGTTGAGTGAGATCGATAGTGAGATCGATACTGAGATCGATTTGGTGTCCCGTGGTGTCCCGTGGTGTTCCGTGGTGTCCCGTTGAGTGAGATCGATAGTGAGATCGATAGTGAGATCGACAGGTGTCCCGTGGTGCCCCGTTGAGTGAGATCGATAGTGAGATCGACAGTGAGATCGACAAGTGTCCCGTGGTGTCCCGGGGTGTCCCGTTGAGTGAGAATGATTGAGTCAGATGTTGGCCCCCCCCCCTCCACCCCCTCCGCAAAAGCTCCTTATCACCCGAAGGGTGGGCGGACAGGTATATATTTGCATTTTTTCCTTATCCTTCCAGTGTGTATATAACTATACGACCACCCATCGGGTGATAAGGAGGTTTGGGGGGGGAGAGGGGGGGGAACCAATATCTGACTCAATCGATCTCTCTCTGTCGATCTCACTAAACGGGACACCACGGGACACCACGGGACACCACAGGACACCACGGGACACTTGTCGATCTCACTATCGATTTCACTATCGATCTCACTCAACGGGACACCACGGGACACCACGGGCCACCGCGGGACACCACGAGACACCGCGGGACACCTCTCGATCTCACTATCTGTCTCACTATTGATTTTACTCAACGTGACACCACGGGACACCACGGGACACCTGTCGATCTCAGTATCGATCTCACTATCGACTTGACTCAACGGGACACCACGGGACACCACGGGACACCTCGGGGCACCCAATCGATCTCAGTATCGATCTCACTATCGATGTCACTATCGATCTCACTCAACGGGACACCACGGGCCACCACAAGATACCACGGGACACCAGCGGGACACCGCGGGCCACCAGCCGCTGGAGGAGAACCATTCGGTCCGGCCGCGGCCCAGCCACAGGAGGATTTCGGGACACCAGCGGGACACTGGCGAGACACCGCGGGCCACCGGCCGCCGGAGGAGAAACATTTGGTCTGGCCGCGGCCCAGCCACAGGAGGATTTCCTCTCGCCCGCCCACGCAGCTTCGCCTCGCCCGCACGCACGCACGCACGGCACGCACGACACGAACCCGAAGCCGAAATCGATTTTCCGGTTGGGGGGGTCTCCGTTTCACGTCGGACTCACCCCCCAACCTCCGATGTGTATATATATATATATATATAGTATACACAACTACGTACCTCACGCACTTTAACTCTGTCTGTCTGTCTCTCTCTCTCTCTCTTTCCGTACTCCGCCTCCCTCATTCTTCATTTACCATAGTTGTTTGGTTCTCTCTCTCTCTTTCTTTTTCTCTCCCTCTCTCACCCTCTTCCTATACATATCGGAGGATGACATCGCAGCGAAACGGAGACCCCCTCACCAGGATATTGGTTTCGGATGCACGTTCGTGTCGCGCGTGCGGGCGAGGCGAAGCTGCGTGGGCGGGCGAGAAGAATGAACTCGCCGTTGCCAGGGCGAAGCCGAACCAAACGTTGCTGGGGAGCCCCATGCCATGTTATATGCTATGCACTGTCATGCTAGCAAGAGTGAGATCGAGAGCGCGATCGATACTGATATCCTTTGAATGAGATCGAAACTGAGATCGATCGTGACATCGAAAGTGAGTTCGATAGTGAGATTGGTAGTCAGGTCAATTAAGTGAGATCGATAGTGAGATCGGTACCAGCATCGATAGTGAGATCGATAGCGAGATGGATAGCGATATCGATTGAGTGGGATCGATAGTGAAATCGATCGAGATATCGATCGTGTGTTCGATAGTGGTATTGATTGAGTGAGATCGATCGTGAAGATTAATTGTGATACCGATAGTAAGAACGATGGTGACATCGATGATGACATCGATAGTGGGACCGATAGTGAGAGCGATCGTGAGATCGATCGTGCAATCGTTCGTGAGATCGATTGGGAGATATATCGTGTAATCGATAATGAGGTCGATTGTAAGGTCGATCGTGAGACCGATAGTGAAGTCGATTCAATGAGATCGACAGTGAGATCGATCGTGAGATCGATGGTGAGATCGATGGCGATATGAATAGTGTGATCGACAGTGACATCGATAGTGGGATAGATAGTGATATCGAGAGTGAGTTCGGTAGTGAGATCGATAGTGAGATCGATTGAATGAGATGGATGGTGAGATCAATAATAACATCGATAGTGAGATCGACCGGGTACCCAGCAGCCTGGGACCCCAAAATTGGAACGCTGGGAACCCCGCCGCCCACCGAACCCCGCCGCCCACCATAATCGGCCCGGAACCAGAAACCAGGAACCCAGGAACCCGGAACCAGGAACGCCCACCGAAATCGGCCCAGAAATTTCGCCAAATCTTTCAATATTCGCTAGGACCCCTTCAGTGTCGCAGGCCTAGGGGTTGACACCAACACCAATATCGGCGGTGTGCCTCCACCGAGGGAAGAAGAACCCGATCTCGGTGATGGTGGTAATATTCTGGCTTCCAAGGTGGCCGAAATATTGCCACCAGCACCGAAATCCAGGATCATCTTCCCCCTCTGTGGAGGCAACCCCCTGTGCTGGTGTTGGCGCCAATTTCCAGGCCTCCGACAGAGCAAGCGCTGATTGGGGCATTAAGCAACCCAGAGTATGCTAGCGTTATGTCGGGCGTGTCCCCCTACAGCAGGGATTTTCGACGAAAAATGAAAAATACCCCAACAATGCTCCAAAAAGGTCAAAGAATACTCAAAAATAATCCCCAGAGGATTTTTGACAATTTTTTGATCATTTTTGGGGCATATTTTTCATTTTTCGTCGAACATCCCCCTGCAGGGGGACACGCCCGACTTCATGCTAGCGCGGTGGCTGGAGCGTGTCGCCGGGGCCGTCGCGGCGACACGCGGAGCGAGAGGCTCCCGACATGCCTGGCGTTAAGTCGGGCCTCTCCCCCTACAGGGGGATTTTTCGACGGAAAGTTACAGATACCCCAGACAGAATCAAAAAACAGTCCAAACATAGTCTGGGGATGTTTTTTTTTTTTTTTTTTTTTTTTTTTTTTTTTTTTTTTTTTTTTTTTTTTTTTTTTTTTTTTTTGTTTTTTTTGTTTTTGTTTTTGTCATTTTGACATACATATATATATGTATATATATATATATGTATATATATATATATACACATAGGTATATATATATATATATATATATATATATATATATATTATATATATATATTATATATATATAGTTTTTTTTTTTTTTTTTTTTTTTTTTTTTTTTTTTTAAAAAAAAAAAAAAAAAAAAACAAATCGTCGAACATCGCCCTGGAGGGGACACGCCCGACTTCAGCCCGGCGTGCGCGCGCGCGCGGGCAGGAGCGCGGCGCGGCGTGCGCCGCCCTCGCGGCCGCGAGCCCGCGGGCGCCGCTGGGGCGGGGGCCCCCGGCGGACTGCGGCGGCGGCGCCGCGCCGCCGTGGGTGCCCGTGGAGAGAGGGGCCGCTCGTCGGGGGGGAAAAAGATACGGATACCTGTTGTCCCCCGTCTTTTTCGGCCTTTCCTGGTCCTCCTGGGGAGTCCTCGTTGTCACCGCTGGATTCGCCTCGAAATTCTGGTCAGAACGCACCCCGAGAGAGGTCCGGGGACAACCCGTATCCGTATCTTTCCGCCTCCCAGTCGGTTAGGAGACCCCTACATGCGAACCCTACCCCGACCCCAGACCCCCTCGCGTCGTGAACAAAAACGCGGCGGGAGGTGTTTCGCTATTTTCGGCCTCCGGGGGCCCTTCCCGGGCCTCGGGGCCGTCAAAAGACGACCCAGGATGAGAAACCGGTCCCGGGGAAAGGGTCCAGACCGCTGGGGGTCGACGTTGTGGAAAAATCACGACGCCGGGGGTCTGGGACCCCCCCACGATCTCTGAGGGGGGGGTAGGGGCAGGGTTCGCATGTAGGAGAGGGGTAGGGTTCGCATGTAGGAGAGGGCGGCGCCTCCGGTGCGGCCCCTGGCGCGCTCGGCGCGCCAGGGAGGGGGGTCCAGCGCCAATCCGAGAAATCTGTGCGGACCTCTGAGTTTTTAAATTTTATGTCACTTTTTGTTCCCCTAGGTACGGCAGGTTCGCGTCGTGTCGACCGGGGGCGACCCCGCCGGCGGCGTTCAACGTTGAACGCTGGCGGCGACGCAGAATCGGTCGATGTTGAACGATTGGACGCTGCGGGAGCGGCCGATCGTTCAAGGCTGAAGGATCCACGCGGTGTCAGACACCAACGCCGGGATCGTCTCGACGCGAACCTGCCGTAGCAAATCACGGGAGCCTCGTCGAGACAAGACAAGAAGAAGCCGCGCCCGGACGGCGCACCGGCACTCACCGAACTCGAGGCGAGGGCCAACAGCATGTACGAGAGATTCTGCCGAATGCGCCCGCGCCGGAGCACAGCCACTGTACACAGACCAGTTGTGGGCGGCGGGAACCACTACACCCGCACATCGCACATGGCACATGAACACGAACATGGGAGCGTCGTGTACAATCGTAATTCCGTATGCAGTGTGCGTTAGCGTTGATCAGCGTCAGGTAATCGATGAGATCGCGCCGATTTCACGTCGATCAGCGTCGGCTAGCGTCGATTAGCGTCGATTTGTCGTCGATTGGCCGCGACTGGCATGCGTTGGCGTCGATCCACAAGAGCCGGCGAGATGGTATGGGAGGATCCCGTGAGTTGCAGCAGAAGCGGGGTCGAAGCACAAGAAGCAGCGGCAGAAGCACAGCTTCTCCCAAGGTCTGCGCGGATTTTCTGGATCGGCGTCGGGCCCCCGTGGCGGCGCCTCCAGCGCCGCCCCTGGGGCACTGCGCCCACTAGGGATGATCGGGTATGGCCAGGGCCCGGCGTCAGGGGGGCCGGTAAGTGGACCCCAAGGATTATGTTCTAGCGTGCTGTGTGTTGCAGTTTGGTGTTGTGCAAACTGTGCGGTGCTGTCTATGTGGTGCTGTCTATGTGTGGTGCAGGCTGTGTGGTGCAGGCTATGCGGTGCAGGCTATGCGGTGCAATGTATGTGGTCCAGATCACATCGACGGGTTTTAAGTTGCAACTCCACTGCTCGCGCATTCATTGCACCCACCCGCCCGTAACTTGGTTGCAAAACCCATGCGGCGGCGATCGCGATGGTTGCTTGGCGCTGGCTGGCACATCGCTGCGGCCGCGCTAGCGCACGTGGGCTCGCGCGCAGAGCGGCCAGCGAGACCGACGTGGCCGCGGTGGCGCTGACCGCTGGGCACTTCCCAACGCGTCTCGCAGGCCGCGCTGGCGCGTGGGCACTTCACTGCGAGTCGGTGGCTCGGGCGGGCGCGGTATCATGGAAACGTCGACAACGGCAAACACGATAATGATAGTAGCGGTGCGGGTGACGATGATGACAATCACGACGGCAAGGCCAATGACGGTGCCGATGATGATCACGCCGATGGCGATGATGGTGTCCACGATTCGGTAATCAAGGTTTCCGAGAGATTTCGGAATGTGCGCGCGGCCGACGCGCTAGAGTGGCCCGCATGGTGTTATTTGACAGGGATCTTGCCCCCCCCCAGCACCCGCGCAAGGGCGGTCGAATAATTAAGATATGCGCGCGCGAGAGGTCCATTTGTTCGAAGTTGATGAACATGTTGAAGCAACCGGAGACTTTTCCGTGAGACAGGGTCGCGCATATGTTTTACACGCATGTTGCATTCTCGACTTATGTATTTGTATATTGTACATATGTCCGTATACTGACTTGTATGGCCATACCCTTTGGTGCGTGTGTCCCCTACGCCGTCTACCCTCCGCTCCAGAGCTGTTCTGGCTCAGAGAGTTTTTGGGCTCCGAGCCAGACTTTCCTTTCCCGCGTCGCGGGTGTGCGCCCGCCGCGGGACGAGGGTCGCAGTGTGTTGAGGCATCCGCGCGACACCGTCGCGCGGCCTGGCGGCGCGGCCTGTGCCACGGCGCGCCGCGTACGCTCGGTGATCCCCGCACGAGCGCACTCCAGGCCTGGAGATGGATGCTGCGGATGGAGGCGGCGTCGTCGCCTCAGTCGGCGAGCTGCTGGACGACGGCCTGGGGCTCGAGGTCGTCGAGGACGGCGAGGAGGCGGCTGGTGCCTCGGAGGAGCTGGAGCCGTTGCCCGCCGAGCCGATCACCATCGGAGCCAAACTCTTTCTACTTGCGTGCAGGGTTCGGCGACGACGGGCAGCAGTCGCGTGGCGTGCGCTGCGGGTCATGGCCGCCCCCGAGCAGCTCGTGCGCGCGAGGCTCTTCTTCAGCGACGACGCGTACTGGGACTGGTGGGCGGGGTCTCCAGGCGTTGCGGGTGCAATCTCCCCCAGCGTTTTGCTGCGCGTCTGCGCGGACGACCCGCGCGGCGTGGAGGCGCCCGCGGGGTGCGACGAGCTCATCCACGTCTCGGGCGCCCGCAGGCTGGAGGCAGAGGACGTCGCCGAGGTCTTCTCGAACTGCTTGCGCCGCAACCCCGGCGCGGTCTGGCCCGCGGACCTGCCGGGGCCGCGTGCGGCGCGGCTGGCCGCTCCACGTCGGGCGGCGCGCCCGAAGAAGGAGAGTGCCGCGCCGCCGACGCCTGGTCCGGCAGGGCCGAGCGCGGCCAAGCACGCGGCCGAGAGTCGCGACGTTCCCTTCGACGGGCTGCTCGGGGACAGTGCCCTGGCCGCGAGGGCTGCGGGTCTCACTCTCGACCCGGGGCCCGCGCGGGACGAGCTGCGGGCCAGGCTCGCTGCGGCGAGGGGCCCGTTCGCCACGGCGGCGCCAGGGGCCGTTGCGGCTGGCGCCCCTCCAGTCAGCGCGGAGGCCGCGCCGAGCGAGGGCGCGCCGAAGAAGCGGGGCCTCGCCGAGGTGCTCGCGGAGCGCATGGCGAAGGTCGCCAAGGGCCCCAGCGGCGAGGCGACGCGCTGCTCGGGCGGGCCAGCTGCTGCGGCTGCGGCCAGCGGGGGTGCTGCAGGAGAGGGCGCGAAAGAGTTGGCGACGGCGCTCATGGCAGTACTCGGGAGCTCGGCCGCGCAGGCCGCTGGCAGCTCGGGCGCTGGGGCCGCCGCGGACCCCCTCAGCGCGCCCGGCGGGGCCGCGGCCACGGGGGGTCTGGCGACGAAGCGGGCTCACTGCAGGAAGACGGCGCAGGACCAGCCTGGCAAGTTGTCAGAGCTCACGCTGATGCAGATGGCGGAGTTCCTCGGCGCCGTCGAGGGCGACGCGGCGGTGGGCCCGACGACGGCGCTCGTGCTGAGGTACCTGCTCGAGATTTACCTGCCGCAGAACCCAGTGCAGCAGATCGGGGTGGCTGCGTATCGCGAGATGCTGACGCTGGCCGAGGCGATCGACGCCCTCCTCCAGGGCAAGGTTCCTCAGGCGCTGGACATCTTGACCCGGCGGCTGAAGGCGGCGCAGGTGGCAGTCGGCGACGGCCACTGGAGCGCGGTGAAGTGGCTCGAGCTGATCCCTGCCAAGGACGAGCCCACCACGTTGCGCAGCGAGGAGGGGGAGATGATCCGCAGTATCGAGCTCGGCGAGCTGAAGCTGGAGGAGCTCAGCAGCCGGCTTCGCAAGCCCCAGGGTTGAAGTGGAGGCCGGCCGGGAGGGGGCGCGCCCGCCGCTGGCGCCTCTTCCTGCAGGCCAGGTGGGGGGGATGCCCCCCGCGGCAGCGCGGGCGCCAGGCAGTCGCGCGCCCGGCCGCCCGAAGGGGCCGAAGGGCAGCGCGAAGGAGGGCGAGAGGCCGCCTCACCTGCGCGTCGTGCAGCTCGACAAGACCGCCGAGAAGCTGCCCGCTGGAGGCTCACAGGCGCCGCTGAATTTCGGGGCGGCGAGGGCTGCATGCCCGGGGAAGGATCGCAAGATGCGAAGGAGTACAAGGCGCGGCTGCGCATCTTCATGGCGGAGTCGCGCGGCCAGAAGCGGTGGCAGACGTTGCCGAGGCTGCTGGAGGTGCAGCTTCCGAGGAGGAGGGCGCGGCGCGGTCCCCGACCTGTAGCAGCAGGTCGCTGCTCGTGTCTGATAACTTCCCCTGGCTGGAGGCGTAGGGGCGAAGGGGCCGCTTCGCGGCGGGGGCGCCTCCCAGCGGGGGCAAGCAGCGGGAGCTGGCGAGCGCCTCACTCCTAGACGGCATGCGGGGGCCCCCCTCCGCGGGCTGCACTGCGCGCGATGCGCAGGCGTGGCGCGCCGAGGTTGCTGTGCAGTTCGGCGCGACCATCACGAGCGTCGATATGGCAGTGCGCCTGGTACACCTTGTCGAGCGCCACCCTGTCAGCCTGGGGGACTTCTTGAGAGAATTTGCAGAGCGCGTGTCCACGCTTAGCGGGAGCGGCAGGCGCGTTCGTGACCTGTTGCCGCTGCCCCTGCCAAGTCTCCCGGCTGTCAGGCGCTGGTGCGCGAGCGGAGATGCTGGGCGCAAGTGCAGAGCCAGGCCAATCGCTCGGCAGGTAGCTGAGGAGGCCTGGTTGTTTCTCACCGTCACGGCGCTGAATTACACGTGCAGTGGTCGCTGCAAGGAGGCTTGAGGTATCGCCCGACGTTGTACCGGGCACAGCAGCAGGCCATGGGGTTCCTGACGTCCCGCGTCGTCGACTTCCTGGGGGGCCCGTTCGAGCAGGTGAACGTGCCCGCCGCCGACGTTGCCCTCAGTAAGGCGACCGTGGACTACACGGGCGAGCCCGTGGCCAAGGCGTAGCCCTGCGCGCTCGCGGAGCTGGCGCCAGGTTTGCCGCAGCCCGAGCATGCCGCAGCGCTGGGCGCCCTGGATTTCGTGGAGCCCGACGTTGCCGAGTGGCTGGCCTCGCCCGAGAAGGCTTCTTCCCGAGGCCGACTGGCCCGACCCCATGCCTCGAGCCAGGGTCAACGTCGTGGACGAGGCGCGTTGGCGCGAGCTCGCGGTGCACCTCGTGGAGCTTGGGATTTTCGCGGTGCTGAGCGAGGACCAGCTCGTCAGGGTGCGGGGCGAGCCGTTCTTGAACGGCCTCTTCGCTGTGGAGAAGAAGGGCAGGCCAGGGCCAGGCGCCGAGCGGGTCACCAGGCTGATCTTGAACATGGTCCCTGGCAACGCCCTGCTCAAGCCGCATGTCGGTGAGGCGTCACTCCTCGCGGCGTCTACGAACTGGGTGTCCTTGCACATCCCCGAGGGGAAGTTGCTGCTGTGGTCGGGTGACCACCAGAAGGGGGCCTTCTTCGTCTGGAGAATCCCTAAGGCCTGGCACCCCTACATGGTGGTCGGCAGGTCCCTCCCTGCCGCGCCCTTCGGGCGCCCCGAGCGGCAGGTGTTTGTCGCGGCCGCAGTGATTGCCCTGGGGTGGATGTCGGCGGCCCCCGTCTTCCAGCGCACCCACCGCAGGCTGCGCCGCCTGCCGCCGCCCAGGGGTGCAGGGCTTCCGCCGGGGCTGGAGTGGCGGAAGGACGAAGCACGCCCGATCGTCGAGCTGGGCAGTGGCCGCGAGGCCGGGTGGTGACAGGTGTACGTCGACGACTTCGACGCGCCCGAGATCGCAGACGAGGTGCGGGCGCGGCAGCTTGTGGGCACTGAGGCGGACTGCCAGCAGCGCGTTCGGGAGAGCTACGAGCGCGCTGGCGCGGCCTGCGCGGCGGGGGAGGCTCACCTGCGGGAGACGCGGGTTGAGCGCATGGGATCCGACGTGGATGGCCTCAGCGGACGGCTGGCAGCGCCGCGCCCCCAGGTGCTGAGTACCGCTGCCCTTTGCCTCGCGACTTTGTCGCAGGAGCGGGTGCCCCGGCGGGTGTGCATGATGGTCCTCGGCAAGCTGGTGCGGGCTTTTGAGTTTAGACGCCCGCTCTTCGGCCTCCTCAACTCCGCATGGTCTCTGTCGACGGCGCGATCGACGGTCCGGTGCAATGCCGAGATGGTCGAGGAGCTCCTCTTGGGCCTTATGTTGCTGCCCGCAGCGGCCACCTCTCTCCGCGCCCGCGTCGAGGGGATGGTCACGGTCTCAGACGCCTCAGAGTTCGGGGGCGGGGTCTGCGCGTCCACGAGCCTTCGTGGGGAGGCGGCATCGGCCTTCAAATCCGTGGGTCAATTCGCTGATCACCTCGGCGTGGGCGCTCGGCTGCTCAACGTGCCTGTAGAGCTGCGGTGCCCCTGGCCCGTGTCTAGCCCGAGGGTCCCGAGGGCAGTTGTGTTGAAGGTGCTTAATGTCCTAGTCGTGGGGCTCTTCGACGGCATCGGCGGCCTCTCGGTGTCGCTCTCGAGGCTGCCCGTCAGGATCGTTGCCTATGTCGCCGCCGAGACCGACGCGAAGGCCAGGCGAGTTGTCCGGCTGCGTTGGTCAGGCGCGATCGACTGGGGCGACGTGGCGCGGGTGGACGAGAACCTGGTGCAGGACCTCTTGGACACGTTCTCGGAGACGGTGGGCGTGTGCGTCGCTGGCGCGGGCAGCCCGTGCCAGGAGCTCTCGCGCCTCAACGCGAGCGGTGGAGGCCTGCATGGCCGCAAGGGCTCTCTGTTCTACGAGGTGCCCAGGATCTTCCGTCTCCTGCAGCAGGCGTTGGGGCGGCGGTTCTACTCGCTGCTCGAGAACGTGGCGAACATGACAGACGAGAATGTCAAGGCCATGTCCAGCTCCATGGGAGTTAAGCCGTACTTCATCTGCTCGTCGGTCATGGTGCCGTGTCGCAGGCCGCGGTTCTTCTGGCGCAGCTGGCAGTTCCAAGTGACGCCGCCGCTGCGCCTTGTCGACAGGGGCTACTACATCGAGGTCGTGACAGACAACGGGCCGCTGCTGGACATCGAGTGGGAGGACCAGGGGTTTCGCTGGGCAGGGCGCCCGCTCCCATTCCCGACGCTGGTGTGCTGCAGGCTTCTCCCGAGCTCCCCGTCGGCGCCGCGCGGCCTGGCCTCGGCGTCCAGTGAGGCGCGAGCGCGCTGGCAGGCCGACTCGTTCCGCTATCATGTTGCGCTGTGCGTGGAGAAACATCCCGCCCAGGATTGTTCTGGGAAGCTGCCGGGGAGGCTGCCAAGCTGCACGTGGAGAGAACGATTGCTCGGGTTCGATGAGGGCTGCGCCGCGGTGGCCACGGAGGGCTCGAACCCGCTGGCCGCCTCAGACGCCGGGGCCTTCCTGCTTGGGAACAGCTTCAGCGTCTATGTGGTCGCATGGGCTTTGCAGCGCGTCCGCCTGGCGGAGTCCGCTTTGGCGCGCCCCCCGGTCCGTGCCCGAGATCGCGCGCGTCGGCCAGTGCCGCGAGACCTGGGGCCAGCGCGGCTGCTTCGAGGACAGCGCGGGCGACCCGAACACCGAGGAGACCAGGCGTCTCGTCCTCCATTATCTGAGCCGCGCGGAGAAGGGGGGCTCGGACGCGCGGCTGGACTGCGGCCTGCCGTGTCGCCCAAGAGGCTGGCGTCGCCCGAGCCTCGGCCCCTTCGCGTGGCGGTGGCGCGTCGTGCTGAGCATGGCGTGGCCGCGCGAGACGCGCGCGCACATCAACGTGAGAGCTGCAGGCAGCGCTGGCAGCCATGCGATGGCGAGCGCGGAAGTCAGCCCGACACTGCGCGTGGTGGCTTCACCTCGTCGACAGTCAGGTCGTTTGCGGCCATCGTGACCAAGGGTCGGAGCAGCAGCCGCCGCTTGCAGCCGGCGCTGAGGCGCTGGATGGCCATGGCGATCGCGGCGGACATGTGCCCGCTGACCGGCTACGTGGTCTCGGGGGGCAGCCCGGCGGACGAGCCGTCGCGTAAGCTATGGCGTGGCTCGCGGCTCAGGAAGCGCGGCGAGGAAGGCCCGCCGTGATCCCGCGCGGGCCGCGGGTGCTGTGCTGAAGCGGCGCGGGAAGCGCCAGCATACCCTCGCCTCGCTACGAGTAGGGTTTGCGACTCGAGCGAGGTACACGCGCAGTGCAGGACTTGCTGAGGCACTGCGGGGCGAGCCCTCAGGAGGTGCGTAACCTGGGCGACGGGGCAGAGGATGCAGACAGCCTTGTCGCCAGCTATTTGGAGGCGATCTGGCAGAGCGGAGCAGGCATCGCGCTGGCGAACAACACCGTCGCGGGCGTGTACTTCCTGCTGTCCAAGCTGCGGCGGAGGCTGGGTCCTGTCGTGGGCGCTCCTGGAGGCCTGGCGTCGAGCGGAGCCTGCAGAGCGGGCGCTGCCGTTCACGCCCGACATCGTCGCGGGCATGGCAGGCCTGGCGGCGGAGGCCGGGGCGTTCGACGTGAGCTGCCTGCTGCTCATCAGCTTCGATGGCCCGCTGCGGGGTGGCGAGGATTTTGCGTTGACGACGGACGACGTTCTAGACCGAGGTGACTCAGTCGTGCTGCGGATCAGGACATCTATGACGACAGCGGGCAAGGACGCTGCAGAGGCCGTCGCCATCCGTTCAGCAGTTGCCAAGGCAATGCTCAGGCTAGTCGTGCAGCAGCGACCCGCAGGCGAAGCCCTGTCGTGGAGGTCGCCCGCCCAGCTCAGAGGTGCGCTCGGGGCCCTCGCGCGCGGCCTGGGCCGTCTTGGGCGCTTCTCATGGCACTCTGCCCGACGAGGAGGCGCCTCAGACTTTTTCCTGCGGTCGGCCTCCATGGGGGCCACGCTTGTCAAGGGCAGGTGGGCCAGCAGCATGACGGCCGGCATCCGAGTCGAGGGTGCGGTGGCAGACCTCGCGCGTGTGGGGCCCACGGATCGGGCCGCCGCCGCTCTTTTACATGGATTGCGTTTGTTGCGAGCGTTCTCTGAGTTGTATCTTTTATTTTATGTGCCCACGAGCTTCGCTCTGGCAATGATCTCTTAGTTCCAAGTCGAAAGCAGACTAATGTACTGCAAATGAGGTGGGGTGGGGGTGGGGTGGAGAGTTCAACGGCATTTTCACGGCTAGTAAGCCACGAGGGGGTGGAGTTGGTATAGCGTGTTTTCCCCGTTTTTGCGGTGCCGCGGACTGGGGTTCAGTGGGACCTGGGTCCTGCAACGCCCCCCCCTGTCGTGAAGCTGGCCCGTGAAACCCATAGTGAAACCAGTGTGGACTGCCGCGCTTGGTTGCTCTGGCTGCCGGGGTCTTGCTCTCGGTTTGGCACCGCTGCGGGGGGCGGGGGCGTCGGGCGTTTCGCGGCGAACCGCAGTGTGTGGGGGAAATTTAGCTATCAGACCATCGGCGTGGACACGTGCAGTAAAACGGTATGTCCTTATACTGACTTGTATAGTCATACACTTTGGTGCGTGTGTCCCTTACGCCGTCTACCCTCCGCTCCAGAGCTGTTCTGGCTCCCGACCCTCTCACCGCCCACCAGAATGATTTCTTGTAGAGGCTAGCCGGCTCAATGCTTGCATGAGGTGCCGTAGCCCATCAGGTATAGCGTGTTTTCCCCGTTTTTGCGGTGCCGCGGAGTGGGGTTCAGTGGGACCTGGGTCCTGCAACGCCCCCCCCTGTCGTGAAGCTGGCCCGTGAAGCCCAGAGTGGAATCAGTGTGGACTGCCACGCTTGGTTGCTCTGGCTGCGGGGGTCTTGCTCTTGGCTTGGCGCAACTGCGGGGGACGGGGGCGTCGGGCGGTTCGCGGCGAACCGCAGTGTGTGGGGGAAACTTAGCTATTAGACCATCGGCGTGACACGTGCACTAAAACGGTATATACATAGATATATGTTTCTTTTTCGGCAGACTGGATCTCGGCATTCTTTCGCAATCTATGGTTTTTGAAGAGTTTCGCCATGCACGCGCGACGCCGCCCGTGTGTGCTCTTCGTCACATCTGTTGCAAGGGACATGGTGGAATTTGATGATTTTTGAGTGTGAGCGCCTCGTATTCTTTGACGAGGAGGGGGGGTGTCGATACCGGCCTGGCTGGAATGGTAGGGATGGTAAGAGTTCTCATTTAGAATGAGCGACCGGTAGAATCATTTGTAAACTGCACACCTCCAAGGGGTACCGATAACCCCGGGGGTGGTGGTGGTGGTGGTGGTGGTGGCGGTGGTGGTGGTGGTGGTAGTAGATCCGACGTCTTGTTGAAACATCTATGTGGTGCAATCTCTGTGGTGCAAGCTATGCAACGTAACGCAACACAGCGCAAAGTACACGCAGCACTGCAACGTAATGCAAAGTCCCGCGAAGCAATGCCAAACAATGCAAGGAAAGGCATCGTACTGCAAGCCAATGCAAAGCAATGTGAAGCAATGGAAGGCAATGCGACGCAATGCACAGCGATGCAACCCAATGCAAAGCAGTGTCACGTAATGCCAAGCAGTGCAACGCAATGTAGAGCAATGCGCAGCAACGCGAAGCATGGCATATGAATGCAACGCAATGCGTATATATGTAAAGCAGTGCGGCGCAATGCGATTGCAAAACAACACGATTCCTGTGCAGCGACGCAAAGCAATGCGCTTCAGCACAAAACAATGCAGTGCAATGCAATGAAACATAATGAACAGCAGCGCAAAACAATGCGAAACAATGTAAAGCCAGCGGCGACGAGGCGGCGACGGCGGCCACATGGCGGCCAGAGCTGCCCGCAGGCCCCGGCGACGGGCGTCGACGGGCGGCGACGAGGCGGCGACGGCGACTACATAGCTGCCGGTCCGATGGGCAGGCCGTGGAGACGGGCGGTGAAGATGCCGCGACGGGGCGGCGACGCCGACCACATAGCCGGCAGACCGACGGGCAGGCCCAGTTTCTGAGGAAAACGTCAGAGACTCGAAGTGCAAGCACTGTTTGGGGAAATATGACGGAATCATATTAGCTTTGGGCTGCCGTGACTCGTTTTTTATCTGGTGGCGGCGGTTCCGGTGAGTGACATGGGGCGGAGGAGGCGTCCCCGAGCACACATCACAAAACCAGGCCCCGCGAAATCCAGTCTTGCCAATGCTCGCTCGAGAGGAGGGTCCAGCGTCGATCCAAGACATCCGCGCGGACTTCCGAGAAATTATACTTATATGCAGTTTTTTTGTGCCTCGAGTGCTGGTCCCTGGCAGGCCCGCCTCGGGGCCACGGGGGACTTCAGAGGAAGAAGAGGTGCCGATACCGCTGCCCCTGGCTTGTTTTCGCCTCTTCGGACCTCTTGGGAGGCCCTCGTTGCCGCGGCAGGATTCGCCTTGCGCTTCTGGTCAGAGCGCACCTCGTGGGAGGTCGGGGAAGTGGTGGTACGGGTGTCTTTCAGGAGCGCGTTTCGTTATTGCTTGGGGCATGACGGGTGTCATGGCCCCCGCCGCCCCCCGCCCCCCTCCCCTATGACGCAACCTTCCCCCCCAGTGCGCTCCAGGCACTGCCGCCGTGCGCACCGGGATTTGCATAGGTTTCTGCATGGGAATCCGCATAAGTGTCTGGTCCGCAATCGTCGTCGTCGTCGTCGTCGTCGTCGTTCGTCGCTCGTCTCTCGTCGCTCATCGTCGTCGTGCGCGCGGACGTGGCTGGAGCCTGCTTTTATTCCGGGCCGATGACGGCAATCATTTGGGGGGGGTGGGGGGCCGATGACGTCACGTTTCGCGCCGGCGGCGTCTGGGAATGCCCAGGAATGACTGAGGACGGGTAGCAGCAGCATGTATGTGGCGATCTGCACCACAACGCCTGCGTGCACCACAGTGCCTGCGTGCACCACAAATCTTTTTTACACCACAGAGCCTGCGTACACCACATCAGCCGTGTGCAACACAGCACAAGTGTACACCACAATGGTTGCGTGCACTACAGCGCCTGTGTTCACCACGGCGCCTTTGTGCACCAGAGCAACCGTGTGCAACAGAGAACCATTATTGTATATATAGAATGTTAGAAGGAATCCGAATGACAAAACGGAGCGCCTGTGGATTCCACAGAAAATTGTTTTATATAGGATTTGGAAAGGAATCCTTATGGAAAAAGGAGCGCCGCTGGAATTTACGAGTCCTCCCGAGTCCGCCCGCATCATCCTAACTCCTCCTATCTGCGTCCAGGAGGCTCCAGCTAGATTCGCCGTCCGAAAACCAAATGGACTGACTCAGTCGAACATTCTGCTGTGCACGCTGAGATGCGCACGTGCGCTGTAGCGCAGATCCGCACGACAGGGGGCAAGGGTCAGGGAGGAGGAGGAGGAGGAGGAGGAGGAGGAGGAGGAGGTGGAGGAGGAGGAGGAGGAAGAGGGAGGAGGGAAGAACGTCGCATTCTAGTATCAGCACTTGCCTGGCGTGGCGTTTAGCTGTCCGCAGCAGATCCTCACTTACATGCTCCTTCTACCTGCCCTGTGCACGCAGGCGCTGTGGCGTACACCAGCGCTGCGTTGCACGCGGATGCCGTGATGTAGACAGGTGGCGAGGTGTGCACAAGCGCTGCGGTGCACGCAAGCATTGTGGTGTACACAGGCGCTGTGTTGCACATGGTTGGACACATTCGCTGTGGTGTACACAGGCGCTGTAGTGCACGCAAACACTCTGGTGTACACAGGCGCTGCGTTGCACACGGCTGTTGCGGTGTACGCGGGCGCTGTGGTGTACACGCGCGTTGTGGTGCACGCGGGGGCTATGGTGTACACATGCGTTGTGGGGCAGATCGCCACCTACATGATGCTCGCGTCGTCGTCGTCGTCGTCGTCGTCGTCGTCGTCGTCGTCGCTCGTCGCTCGTCGCTTATAGCTCGTCGCTCATCGTCGTCGTGCGCGCGGGCGGGGCTGTGGTGCCGGAGCCACACGGTGGGAGGGGGGGGCGTTCACGTCATACCTCCCCCCCGCCCCCCACCCCCCATGACGCCCGTCATCGCCGAAAATGTAGAAACGCGCTCCAGGTGGTTCGCCACAGGAACAGCCAGACGGAGCCTCCAGGGGCCAAAAGCAGTCAGAGTCGGCTGGTTCTTTGCGATTTAGACACCGTTTTATCTTCCAGCGACGGCGGCCACGGCGACGATGTGGGCGACGATGTGGATGACGTCGAGGTTGGTTATTCCTGGGCCCTCCTGGCTCTCAGGGCGGCCTACGGACAGCGGGGCCATGGTGACCCCATCTTACGGACCACCATGGGACTAAACATGTCCAATCAGACTTTGGCAAGACTTGGTCATTTGAAGCGGCAGTTGGGCTTGAGCTGTGCATCGATACTTCTTGTTGAGGGCTTGGGCCGTGCGTTGTTGATGTTTTCCCAACCATCCTGTGTTGTTGGGTCCTCGTTTTGAAGCGACAGCGCCTCGCGTCCTCTCCTCTCCTCCTCGTCTCCCTCCTCCCATGCGTACCTCTGCCCTCCGCATGCTGCTGCTTCGGCACACACCTCACGCGTTTCGTGGCCGCATAGGGAGCTCCACCGAAGGCCCCAGTGGTAGCGCCCTGATGGCATCACCGCGCCCAATTTGGCACACCCCTCACACGTTTCGTGGCCCCACAGGGACCTCCACCAGAGGTCCCAGTGGCAGCGCCCGCATGGCACCACCGCACCCGTTTCGGCACACCCCTCAAATGTTTCGTGGCTCCACAGGGAGTTCCACCGAAGGCCCCAGTGGCAGCGCCCGCATCGCATGGCACCACTGCGCCCGTTTCGGCACACCCCTCACACGTTCCCTGGCATCATAGGGAGCTCCACCGAAAGCCCCAGCGATAGCGCCCAGATGGTTCCACCGTGTTTAATTCGGCACACCCCTCACACGCTTCGTGGCCCTATAGGGACCTCCACCAGAGGCGTGGCAGCCCCCGCATGGCACCACCGCGCCCCGTTCGGCACATCCCTTATTTCCTTCGT